ACCAGCAAAGACGAATGATAATTCCCTTCTTCTCGCCAACCACTCTCCTCTCCTCCCCTCTTTATTCACAATAAATAATAATAGTAATGTTGAACGGCTGAACCAGAATCAATGTCCGAATCCCTCTTCTACTGCAGGTACAACATGAGGTACACCATAGCCATGGCCACCCTTCTCCTTCCTCTTGATGAAGGCCGAGGCTATGGCGGACTGCTAGGGCCTTGCCCTGATGTGAAAAAGACAACTCAAAGCAGCTATGGCTGCTCCAGCCCAGGCCGCCATGCCTGACTCTGCCTCAAAGCTCCTTGGTGTAGCTCTACCCCAACTGGGGCCTTCCAGATACAGCGCCTACCAAGGTGATGAAGATGGCTTCCACCATAGCCAGGTAAGTACCTCTGGCGCTCCCCCTTCCTAGTCCTTGTCTTCCTCCTCCTCCAGCCCGTGCTCCTCCACCATAGCCAAGGTGGGGAGCTGGGCACTCCTTCCTCCCCAGCAGCGCTGCTTCAGCCAGCGCTCCAAGCAGTGTGTCGTCAAACTTGCACATCAGATTGAGGAGTACTTTGCTCCTCCTGGAGATATACCGGCCTGCTTGTCTCTTGGGCTGTGACTTCCAGGCCGCTCGGCCTCCAAGCAACTGGTACCTCCTCCCTTTCAGAGGGACTGGTACTTGCCTAGACCTAGCCTACAACAACTGGGCCTCTAAAAATGCCAATTTTTGTCTTCTTCTGCTCGGCGTCGAGTACCAGACACATCTACCGCTACTTGGTGTGGTACCGGCCTACCTGCTACTTGAGTGTTTCTCTGGTGCTTCTAAGTGTCGCGGGCCTATTTCCCACCACTTGAGTGTTTTCCCCGCTGCAACCCTATGTCACGGCCACCGGTAAGTACCGGCCCTTCGGGCCTCCCGAACGAACAAGTGCCCTTGTGGGTCACACACACACTCAAACGGACAGGCACTCAGACATACACACACACCAGCAAGCACACTCACACAGACTTAGAAAACTCAGCAACAAGCGGGAAACTGAGCAAGGCATACATTCCATTGGCAAAACTCAGAAATCAGCTGTGTGTGTCAGTCCGTGTTTGGCAGGTCCTTACACTCCATCCTTTTATGGATTGGGTGTGTGGGCACTTGGCGCTCAACCACACAAACGTGGCCAACCTGGCATCTTCTACTATATGGCCTCTCTACACCACCTTTATGTGTCATGGATGGTTTATGATGCTTGTGGATGGAATGAGAGAGAGAGATTTTTTTAATTTTTTTTAAACACACGTTCCGGTCTTGCTAGTCGTCTGTCCTGGCAGATTTACATATATAATTTGTGCGAGTGTGCCGCTTCGATGGCGGACAGGTGTGTGGGCACTTGGCGCTCAACCACACAAACGTGGCCAACCTGGCATCTTCTACTATATGGCCTCTCTACACCACCTTTATGTGTCATGGATGGTTTATGATGCTTGTGGATGGAATGAGAGAGAGAGATTTTTTTAATTTTTTTTAAACACACGTTCCGGTCTTGCTAGTCGTCTGTCCTGGCAGATTTACATATATAATTTGTGCGAGTGTGCCGCTTCGATGGCGGACAGGTGTGTGGGCACTTGGCGCTCGACCACACAAACGAGGCCAACCTTGCATCTTCTACTATATTGCCTATCCATACCTTTTTTTTTGTTTCATGGATGGTTTGTAATGATTTGCGGATGGAATGAGAGAGAGTATCCAGTGGCCTAACTCAGTTGGTAAGGCAGGCAAGTGGCATTCAGGAGGTCTTGGGTTCAATCCCCATTGACCTCATGTACCTTCCTGGGCAAGCTTAGCGCCCGCCACCTAGAGATATGCCGTTGGTCCCCCCGAGTGGCATTGAGCAGAGACTGCTGATGTTCATAGGGGGAGGGGACCGGAGGGGAGGCACAGTGACTGGCCCATCAAAGAAGCTCGGTCCTGATGCTACCGGCTGACCCCTGGACGGTATAGCCCACCTGCTGTAGCAGGCTGTGCTGACCAGGAGGCATTTAAGGAGATCCCCCAAACTCCGCAAGAATTCTTTAACGTCGCAGACAGGACGACGCGGTCAGCACAACCCTCCTGGCGATTTCAGCCCGCAACTAGCCGTKCCGGCCTACCTGTGCCACACCGAGCAGCCCGCCGGTCTGTACCGGTCCTTGGGAGGGTTCGTGTCCCCCGGGACAGTCGAGTCGTCAGACACAGATCATCAGCCTTACTAGGTCATAGAGGGGGAGTGGGTCAACCAGGGCCTCAACACTTAACGACGGCCTTCGTTTCAGCCCACAGCCCAGAGTTCAGACCCACTAAACTGATATTGAGAAACCTGCCGGTCTGTACCGGTCATTGGGCTAGACGAGTTGTTTAACGAGCGCTCGCCGCTCATGCCCAGGTCCTCAAGTCTCAGAGTAGGAGTCCTACTAAGCTCGTGTGGGTTTGGCAGCAAGGCCCTATCCTTCATCCACAGATTCTATCACCTAGGACAGAAGAGACTCAATGCAGAAAGGAGAGACAGACAGACTCTTGACCTCAGCAAGTACCAAAGGGTAAGTGTACATCCACGGGGTAGGGAAAAGGCTGAAGGCTTGGCAAGATCTCACCAACTCCAGCTTGGTCAAATCTTGGTCAACGGCGGCTTGGTCAACGACCCGGTCAACGCTGGTCAACCTCCTTGGTCAACCCTTTGGTCAACTCTCGGTCAACCCTCTGGTCAACTCTCGGTCAACCCTTGGTCAACCCTCCAACCTTCGTCAACCTTTAGCTATGGCTGCCGGC